TATTTTCACCTACTTCAAAACTGTTTTGTGCGAACACTTTTTAGCAGGTAATACAGTGTTATTTTTTTGTGTAAATGTATAGTTGCATTTTTTGATTTATTTAATTATTGCAGTCAGATTCTGTTCTGAATTGTTCTGTCATGTATCTTTTTTCTTTTTCTTCTTTGCTTTTGCTTTTACTTTTTTCTTTTTTATTTTTTTGTATAGACGATTAAATGATATTAGGGAAAAGCTTCGGCTGCTGTCACTTTTTTCTTGAAAATTTTTTTTTCTTGTTGTTTATACGATAGATATGAAAGCAAAGATTAGAATTTGAACGGTTAGTAAGGAAGTTTGACGAAGAAAACGAAGAAGAAAAAGAAGAAAAAGACTAAGAGGAAGAAAAAAAAAGTACAGCAAATGTCAGCTGTTCAGATTCTATTTGATTGACTGAAACACAAAAAAGAAATATTTCCCTGCTTTATTTTCAGAAATATTATTTGTTGTCGTTCGTTTCTTCTTCTCTTTGATTTTTTTTTTTTTTTTGTTTTTCTTTTGTAACTGTAAATCTGTTAAAATTTACTGGGCAGTAATACATTCGTATGTGAAGGGATGGGTAAAGACAGGGTGCAGAACGGATACAATTACTTATCAGAAAACATTACTTTCATAGGGCCAGATGTTTGCCAGTGGATTTTATCCGCTGATGCCAAATGTTAAATTGTCATCCTGATTACTGCTGCTGCTACTGCTGCTGTTGTTGTTGTTGTTGCCGTTGAAGATAATAATGATGATGATGACGATGATGATGTTTGATGATTCAAACATCAATAAATGGGATTTGAGTGAAACTTGCTGAAAAATTAATGGTTCTCTTCAGAAGGAAAAAAAAAAAGTAAGAGGATAAGAGAACTTGAACATTTTTCCTGTGTGTGTGTATATATATATATATTAGTGATGTTCAATGAACAAAGGTCTTTTTTTTTAACAACATCAATTAGATCAATTTTTCTTTCTTTTTTTTTTGTACATGATTTCTTCCAGTTAACTGATGAATGTTCCTGACTTTAGGAAGGGAAGAAAGAAACGGCGTCTTAGGGAGGTAATGGAGAAGAATATAAAAGCGAGAAAATATGTTTCTCAGTTTTATACCTGTTCAAGGGAGACTCTCGCTAATATTTAACAGCAATAGGCAATTTTTTGATTAGATTGGAGAAAATTGAATAGTAACGATGTGAATGAATGAATAAGTTGATTTTTGATTCAACTATCACAATCACTTCTGTAAAAATTCTTTGACCAAAAAAAAAAATTTATTGTTATAGAGTTTTTATTTTTCTGAACATTTTATTCGCTTTGCTTTTTTTTCCCTTTTTTTTTTTCTGTTGTTGTTGTTGTTCAGTAAACAGTCTGCTAATTTTATTGCAGATACAGATGTATACTTGTACACAGTAACGTTACCGGTAGACATTTAGGAGAATAAGTAAACTAGTGTAGTTTGATTTTTTTTCTCTTTTTTTTTTTTTTTTTTAGTTA